GTTTAAATGGCACTTTGTATCCCCAATCATATCTCTGTATAAACATGATGATAGTTGTAACTACCATCACTATATCATCAACATATGTATCATCATACCATTGCCATGCTGCAATACTAAAGAATTACCATGAACATATATATATATGTATTATAGCCACACACACACACAGATATGTATGATTTAAATGTATATAATATATGTATATATATATATATCATATTATTTATATATATATATATTTATTTATATCAGGTTATGGATATCTATATTATTTATATCAATATATATATATATATTATCTATCTGGTTATATCATATACATTAGAAGATTCTGGATCCCATACTCCTAGGCCCGGGGGATCCCCCAAAAGCCGCTCCTCGATCTGCGGCTGCGACTCCTGGAGCACGCGGCAGCATCGCTTGTACAGCGCCTGAGATCAAACTGGGAGGCCCTCCAATGGGATGATGGCGATTCAATGGGATAAATAGGGGTTACACAGCAAAAATGATGGTTTTTCATGGGGATATAATTATAATGGACCATCCAATGGTGGTGATTCAATGGGATACCCTCTGGTTATGTCAAAATAGCTATTGAAAATGGCCATAGAAATAGTGGATTTTCCCATTCAAAATGGTGATTGACCATATAGTTATGTTAGTTTACCAGAGGATACCCTCCAGTAAATTAACATAGACCCTGGTAGATAGGGGTTGGTTCAGATGAGTTTCCTCTAAAAATTGGTGATTTTCAGGGTCAACAAGTTAATTTACCAGAGGGTAAATAGGGGTTACGCAGCAAATATGATGGTTTTTCATGGGGATATCATGGGGATATAATGGACTATTCATTGGATAATTTGGATATTCATCGAATAGTTGGCAATACCCCCCCCCATGAGTCATCCAATCCGTGGCAAAGGGTTAAATTCCCAGAGTCACTCTCCACAGATTTAGATCTTCAGCCTGCATGCCCTTTTAGGGGTTGCCGCCCAAACGCTGACATTTGATATGTGATAAGAATTGATAAGACATCATATAGCTAAAGAGGCTAAAGAGAATCATCCTCTAAGACATGACGCTTCACCATGTGATAGGGACTGTGAGCAAACAAAACAGCAAAATCATGCAAAACGTGATTTCCCAGAGGATCCCAAAAAAATGCATGGTTCATGGAGATTTAACCAGCCATGCTGGGTACTTCGCCATCAGAAACACCGAGGGCGGCGTGACACATTGAGCAATAAGCATCATATGCCGCACTGGCTCTGGTTGTGGTTGCTTACATGCTTTACTTTACATATAAAATATTATAAAATTGTAGAACCATACAATATACAATTTTGGTTAGCTGCAGTATATCCAAAATCTCCAAACATATGCAAATTACAACCAAGACCCCAAATCAAAATGGAAAGTTTCAAAGCCTCACAAGGACGAACTGTGCGTGCCAATGGTGGCGGGCGATAGCCGATTAATTCCCGTTCGGAATGGTGGGTCATCATCCGGGGGGGTTCGACAAACCCGTTTCCATTGATTCGTTCCTGAGATCGTACAGTATTGAACCGTTGTTTTGATTGGTATTGAACCAATGTATTGATTGCAAATCCCCATTTTGGCTGGTTAAATCCCATGTTTGATTACTTAATCCCGTACTTGTTGCTTGAATCCAATTTTTGTTGGTTAAAATGATGTAACATCCCAATTGTTGATTCTAAATCACCTTTTTTGATGGCTCGCCATTTTTTGATGGCTAGATACAAAATCATTAAAACAAATCCCAGTCACTCCCTTTTGTATATGTTACATGATGTAACCATCTTTGATGCTTAAATCACTTATTAAAGTAACTTAATTATATGTAAAGTACATCTTATATTGTGATCCCCATGTATATAAAGTACATCTTATATAAAGTACAATTAAAATACATACGTAACCATTTATGTAAAGTAAATCCCCAATTTTGGATGGTCAACTCATCCCAAAAAAGCCCAGCGACGTCCGTCTCGGGCACCAAGGCTTTCATCTCCTCGAAGGCGAAGCCCAAGGACTTCCTTAGGCATTTTCGCCAACAGATAGGGCTTTCAAGGGAACCAAACATACCAAAAATGGTACAATAGGGCTTTCCAAAAATGGTTACCAAAACAGAAATAGGATTTTTTTTCGCCAAACATACCAAACACCAAAAAAAATGGAATTGAACTTGATTGAACCGTAAAAAAGATGGGGATCGAAGATATCGAAGCATCTAGAATGATCCTAATTATGATCCATAATGTGGAGTTCAACCGTAAGAAAGCGGGGGTTTAAGCCACAAAATGGAGATTTGACCAACTAAGATTTTGTGGATTTAACCAGCAATACTTGGAATTGAAGCAATAAAAGTTCGTATGCTTGCACGAAAACATGATTGTTCAACCGAAAATTACAGCGATCAAAGAAATAAACAGTGATTTGGGATGATTTGGGCAACCCAAAAAACAGGTTGTAACCAGCCAAACAATTGGTCACTTGGTTTCACGGGATGATCCGGCCATAGGTCGCATGAGAGTACCCGAGGGTAATCCTTAGATCCGACCATCGCCATCTGCAGTTTGGGAAGTAGGAAATCACCATTGTCCAGCTGCAACCGCTGGGGATTCACCACGGGGATGGCAACCGCAGCGCGGCAGCGGCAATTCCCATCAATTCCCTTTGTACTAGCACTGACATGCACTGACCATGATAGCGGAATGCGATCACCCAGTGATGGCAATTCATCTAGGATTTAGTGGAGTGCTTGCCTGTCATCCACTTGTTACAAGTTCCATCTACCAAGTCGACGGATTTGTTCTGGTCATCCATCTGATGGCCTCTAGCCCAATTGCGCCCCACTTTCCAACATGTTCCAACATTTTCCAGCCCAGTTTGAGGCAATATTCCATTGTAACTCTTAGTTTCCAACTTTAGAATGGAACATGTCCCTGGCTCATCCCTAGGAAGTAGCCACAAGTCTGATCTGTCGCTCCTTTTGTGCGAGCGTTTCGGACACGCGGTCGCTTTTATGGCCTACAAATAAGCCGCGGTTCCTTGAGGCTACTGAAGCCGCATCATTCCTTGAGATGTTGGGACCTTCAAAGGTGGCTGGTGCTATTCCCTGCAGCACCCAGAAATTGATGGTTTGGGTATATAATGCATCCAACCTTCATGAGATAGATTCTGGCTGCAAAATATGGGAACGTCGACTGGCGATTGAGTGCACCTGTTTTGGGTGTGGAGACTTCTCCCCGTCAAGAAAATCACTTGGGGGGGGCAAAATGATGGGACGCACTTGCTCATTAGTGGCATGGCGAGAAAAAAACACGAACAACAAAGTAAAGAATGACAAGGACCCAGAGCAAATCAGAGAAAAACAACTTGAAAATAATGCACAAGTCTTTGATGCCACTCACACCCTGCAAGCAAAACACTCACCAAAACCAAAACACTCAAACCATGTAGTAGATATGGTTTTTTCAACTGGCGGTTTGATAGAGTGGCGGCACATCCCTATGATCGACCAATGGTAGAAAATGGGATTAGTCACCCCGTCTAATGTTCAATAACGAGGATCGCTGGGTGAAATGGAACTAAACCTATCTCGAACTCACCATCTAAATCCTGACAGACGAGCCTTGCAATGTAATCGTCGAAAGAATCAAGTATTCCATGTCAAATTTGATCTTGAAAGACTTCTTCTTGTAAAAAAAAAAACTTCCACCTAATATCAAACACCACCTCTAGGACCTAGAAACCATGGTTTATATAGTAGGGCATTTGCACATATTGGGACCCATTTAGGGTGTGCTTGATATTGGGGGGATTGGATTATGATAGTTTCTCCTTGTTATTATTGTGGGGTGAAGGAAGAAGTTGCCCTGATTCATGAACCCGTGGTGTCTTGAGACCTTGAGGCCTAAACATCCCAAGGCCATTTACAATTCTGGCCGCTGTGAAATGGCCTGTGAAACCTCAATGCCATGGAAGGTGCTTCTCAAAAGTGCAAATGGCTGGCCCGGGAAGCATTCTAGATGAAAAGTGTGCTTCCAAAATAATCAATGACAATATCATATATTATTAGTAATCAAAATATATATATATATAAATCAGTAAGACTGGCAGACTGTCTGGGCACCACTTTTGTTTTGAGAAATCACCCCTGAATTGGAAAACACCGGTGCCCCGAGCCGCAAAAGTCTCGGGGCGGTTGCCGGTACTTTGACGCCCTGCGGTCGGAGTCGGAATCTGCTCAAGACATGCCAAACCTGTGACCTTCCCATGGGTTGGGAAACATCGGTGGCCATGGGAATTAGTGGGAATTTCAGTGGAAAATCGTGGTTTCATGGTGACTTTACTGGGAGAATGATGGGGACATAGGGTGGATTTTACTATCAATGGATTGATTTCATCATCTGATTTGCCATCAAATCTAGGTGCTCCCGGTAGATTTTTCCACCAGTTCTGTGCGACCAAAGAAGTTGTTGAACTGATATGTTCCAGCCTTGGCCTTCCCTGTTGAAAGAGTAAAGGGCCATCCAAAGCGATAGGAGATGAGTCTTTCTATCATCTAAATCGTCTTTCCGCTCGAGTTTGGAATCAAAGATTCGAGATAGTTCACTCAGGTCGACTCGCCCTTGCAGGGACGCAATCAACGCTGGTAGAAACTTCCCTGCATAGAAATTGCTAGCAGTTAAATTTGCATCTAAAGACAGGTGGTCCCAAAAATGTGGCACACATCCACCATTGGTTTCACCTTCCCTTTTTCAGAACAGGCAAGCTCTTGCCCACGTACTGCAATCAAAAATCCAACCTCTGCATCCCAGTTGGATTTGAGGTAGGCAAACCCGACCGCATCGGCGCTGCGCAAAATAAAAGGTGGTGGAGTTCGCTACAAGGAGCTGATGTTCATCAAATCTCCCGCAAATGAGCCGAAAGTGCAAAACAGGCTGGTGGTTTGCAAGCTAAGCTAGCTTGGCTCACTTGCTCCGAGACGCGCGCAGGGCCACTATCAACCCAAGGACTGCCACTGCACCAGTGATCCTCGGGAATGCTGCGACAGTCCGGGCCGGAGTCTTGATTCCAAGGCATCCCGAAATTGCTAAGGGCACCAAAATTTGGTGGACACGATCTGCCAGATATCTGCAACGTGGCCCCATCCCAGGCTATAAGTTGGCTTACAAACCCATAGGCCATGAAGGGCCTATCTGGCTAACGACTTTGTCGGCATTCGTGTTTTCAACCCGCCTCGAAAGTAAGCCAAAGCGGGGTATCTAGACATTAAAACGCTCTACAAACGGCGGAGTCCGTATCCCAAAACTGGCCTTGGGGTCTTGTTTCCATGACAAATGGTCACATTGACTTGGATATCCATAGCCATCAAAATGCTAGAGTAAGTTTGCAACAATATGGGTTTTACCCTCTGATCAGCAGTTTCAATGGCTAATTGCAGTATCTATAAATGGGCCATGTTCATATTGTTCCTCCATCTTCCGGAAACTGTTGAATGACCAGAGGGCAAAATCCCCAAAACTTGCCGCCAAGAGAACTGCAGCCAAGGCATCTTCGCGGCTTGTGGCTTGACAGGTGGTTGATGAGCGGTTGATTCTTCCTGGCGTTGGAAGGGTCATCCCAGGAGCAAAGATATGGATTTAACCCATGAAAATGAAGGAAAAAGCATCCACATAAATGGAGATTTGACCAGCGAGAGTCGGAATTATCGAAATCTAGCCAGCATGTGTATGTCTACCAGCATATGTGTGTAATGTGTGTGTGTTTGCGTGTGTATGTATATGGCCATGATGCCTTTAAAAAATTACTTCGCTAGGTGGTAATAATGGATGGATACCCTGCAACCCCAGAAACAGAATGGCGTGGGAGGGCATCAAATTACCATGTATGGCAAAACATTCCCACCCAACCCAGATCTGCCCAGCGCTATGAGTTTCAACACACAAAAAAGGATGGGAATCTAGCCAATGATCTATTATTGCAGCGCGTCTATAGCTATTGTAGTTCCAAGTCAGCCCTTACTTAGTTTTTTGTTGTTTCTATCATGTTGGTCTCTCTGATGTCCCATTCAAGAATCCCACTCTACACAGTAGGCCCGTAGGATGAACATGTGGACACCAGAAATACTGCAGATGCATCGAGACCCACCCAATCGCAGAAACTCTCTCGATGGCCCATGGCTTTAGCAGGATTTGGGTCCTAGTTGCCGAGTTTAGCATCTTCGTTTTGAAGTCAACCGTACAGAGATTGGTAGGAACCCACCAGCTCTGGTGAACACGAGGCATCACAAGGCGATGGGGTAGATGCCCACAACCAAACATTCAATAGACAGTAGTTGTGGTATGTGTGTGTGTAGGTTCTCCCAATAACCTACACATTCCCATCGACAGCATCACACAGGTAATTGCATATTTTTCTAAGCATGCAAAGATGTCCATGTACAAGCGCATATCCATCTGTTTCGGGTTTACTCTCTACCCTCGGGTAATCACATCCGGCAAGTGAAAATCCAGCCTTACAGAAATCATGTTCCCATTGAAACCTCCATGTGATTGGTAGTTCTCATGTGTGATTGCCGGAAGGTAGCCATCAAACATGACCCCAAAAAGACCTGGCTCACCTCAGCCGATTTTCCCACCTTCGGCTCAGGCTCCGCAGACTTCTCGGTCGAAGACGGATGGCCCTCCGGAAGGGGCAAACCTGGCGGCTTAGGCCCATCCTGGGGGAAGTTCTGGGCTCTGGTGAGCATCCCCTGGTAAATTCACATAGCTATGGAAAATGACCAATTTATAGTTAATTTACCCATTAAAAGTGGTGATTGTCCATAGGTCCATAGCTATGTTAGTTTACCAGATGGTAAGTCTTCAAAGTAGGGTAGGGGTTGCCCTCAGGTAATCTACCCCTGGCAATGGAAAATCGCCATGCTGAAGGTATGAACCCTCTAAACACGAGCAACTGACCATACGTTTCTGGACCCAGGTACCTCAATGACTCAAAGGAAATAGCCACCCATTATATATCCCACTACGTTCCCCATTATATTTCCTATGTTATTCCCAATATAAACAGTGTACCGCATGAAATCCCAATCAATGGTGGTTAAATCCCATTGAATCCCAATATTATCCCATCAAGAAATCGTAGATACAGATACCCCAATTTTATCACAGTCCATTCTCCAATCTCCCAATCGATTCTCCATTTTTGGTTGAACCTGTCTCCATCAATCCCATTGTTTATATGATGCCCCCCAGTTATAAGTTGGTTTCTAACCCCCGCTAACCGTAGAAAACTATAATCCCTTCCCCCTAATATTAAACACCCCCTTAGAAACCATGGTTTAGTAGGGAATTTCCACATAATTGGGACCATTTATGGGGTGTTGAATATTAAGGTGATGGGATTAGTTTAATTATATACCATAAACCTCTTGTATGGAGGGACCTGACCTTCTATGGAATACTGTAATTCCCCAGTAGTATCAAGATCCCATTGTTGGCGCTCAATACATCACCATGTCAGTGGGGCAGAGAGTATACCCAAGAAATCCCCAATACATCACCAATTTATGGTAAACTTGGGGATGGTGGATCCTATTGCTTTACTATTGCTTTACTCAAATTATGACCAATGGAGATTGATTAGTAATTCTTATTGCTAACATGACCAAATTACTGATAGGAATAAAGTATATAATCTAAATCTAACATTGCCTAATTACTAATAGTAGTACTCTAGTACTACTGCTTTACTTCACCAACTTTATGAGCTACTTACTCCCCAAGACATCCCCAATCATCCAATCCCCAAGAATGGTGAATCCAGTGAACCCAGCCTTGTGCCGCCAGGCTGGCGAAGGGGCAGCCCGCCGCCTTTGCCGCGGAGTACGCCTGCGCCGCCTCACTCGAGGCGGGCGCCGTCACGGGCGGTGGCACTGGGTTGGCCTGGCAGCGGCAAGAGATGGGATGAACCTGTCATTTTAATGTATTTGTTCAAATGTTTTACCCAAACAAATGGAGCAAAAATGTTGGTCTCAACTATTTGGACTCACTTTGCAATTGATGAAGATGGTGGTGTTACCAGCCAAAAAAAGGCGAAAGTGGCGTTTGACCGACAAAACATGCATTAAAAAAAGGTGTTTAAGCCAGCAAATAATAGATGGTTTTAAGCAATCAGGAGCCAGTTGGAACTGCAACTCGTTGGCATCAGCAGCCCGTCATTGACCTGGTGATTTCAACCCAGAAACGGGGATTCAAACTCCAGAATGCGAACCCCGTAAGGATTTCAGGGATCAATGAACCAACAAAAATCAACATCGCCCAATTGAAATATGACATGCACAAATCAAATACAAAATACAATTACACATATATACACATATTCTATGTGTGTGATGGGGAAATGGTAGTTCATCACCATCATCACCATCATCGTCATCACCACCACCATCATCATCACCACCATCATCATCACCACCATCATCATCATCATCCCATGTTTTCGGTTAAACCGCAATTTTTGCTGGTTCAGACCCATTGTCAGAGTTGAGTGTCCGTCCCCTGTCCCGCACCTCAAAGCCGGCCAGGGAATCGAGCTCCTGCGTGGCGTTTGGATGGAATGGGCGTACCCTATTTTCAAAAAAAAACATATAATATTATAAGATAGACAGATATAATATGTATATGTATATAGGTATATGTATAATATGTATATTATGTATATGGGTGGCGGACAAAATTACTTGCTACCCGCAATGGACATGGCCAAAGTGTGGTTCCATGCTATGTGTAAAAATAGGGTATCGGTAAGTGGGTGGTCCCCTATCGGTTGTGAATGTTTTCGCACAAATTTGAACATCCCATGTCCACTCCCCACTACTTTAGTTTTCCGCTAATTTTGTCGGTTACTCATGTGTGTGTGTGTGATAAATATAAATATATATATATGTGTGTGTGTGTGTATTGTAGGTATATATATATATATACAGTGGAAACTGAATGACCCCTCCTTTGGGGTTAGACCTCCACTTCATGGGTCAAGTTCTACGAAATACTTGGACGGGATGAGCCACGGACCGCCCAACAGAAGCGAATCTCGCAAATTATATGTTCATGACTCATATTTTTTTTGCATCCAGTCCCCCATTCCTGGGCTTATCCTACAAACACTGGGGCACACATAACACAAAACAAGACTTATTGTAAGTTATAAGCATGACTGATCACAGTCCCCCAAACAGAAAGCTAGGTATGGCTTATGGTTGCGCTACAAACGGGCCCGTGGCGATGCCTATTGACCACTTCCCCATTCACTGGTTGTTCATCCTCCATGCGGGGTCGAATTTCATATCAGATATATTACATAGGACATAGGGATAGGGGATCATTAATGAATATATCATCCATTCTTTTAGCATCATAATGATCTGACATAATATCAGATTATGGACATGATGTTATTAGAATAGATTATAATCCATATCAGATCATATCAGTCATTAATCCATTCTTTGGGATGATTTTTTCTGACGTCATAACACCCAGTTAGATCATTTAGCCACCGATGTCCCACCATAATCCAACGCAATCGGCCTGGAAGATGCGCGTGTTCAGAAAAAAGGCATAGTTTGCCTCTTCCACCATGCCTCGAGGCCCCAGAGACCTCCCGTTCCTCCGGTTAGATGGTGGTTTCATGGGGACAATTATGGGATATTAATGATGATTAATATGGTTGAATGGTAGTTTGATGTTGTTTTAGATGGTTTAATTAATGGTGATTTGATAACTTATAGAATATGCATGGGATTGCATGGGATTACCATCCGGTGTCATCAAACGTGGCTTGCTGGAAAATCACCGGTTTAGTTCTATTTTTTTCGAGCTATAAACCTCCATTGATTTAAGGTGGATTTATGGGGAATTCCCATTGCCATGTGTGATTACCGGTTGGTAAATGAGCATCTTCAATGTTCCGCCAATCACCTTTAGCTCGGCCCATGAGGTTGTTAAATCCCCAACAGCCCACCATCTTGGGTGATTCTACCCACCGATCTACCGAGAACAATCAAGGCGCGATCGGCAGTTGCGCTGTCCGCGTGCAAGCTGTCCATTCGCGCCCGATACATGTTCCTCGGCATCGTCCGCACGGTGGTGGCGATACATGTCACATGGATCAGCTTTTCTCCCTCCGCGAGTGAGGAATCAAATAAAGAATGGACATCATATGAATAATACACACAATAATATATATATATATGTGTGTGTGTGTTAATGTATTCCAGTGCGAGGATTAAAAGAAAATATGAAGGGGAATCAAACAGAATTGTGGGTGCAGAATTTTGGGTGTTCCTGTAATTTGTTCACTTCAACCAAGGCCGTGAATAGCTGAATCGCCATCCTCGCCAAGGCACTTGAAGACCATGGTGTCTGGGATCCGCCGAAAGTTGTAGAAGTGGACGCCTCAGAATGTCTTCATCCGCCATTGTTTGTTGCCAACACTTCCAATGATTTGCCGAAAATAAGGGTAGGGAATATGGCTGTGAGTTGGTGCGGGAAGGCACCAGGGACTCTAGGAGCAAATTTCGACTCGACCGAAAGTGCCGAACCCTGGAGGGTGCCGAACCTACCAAAGTGCTGGTTTTGTTCATTTTCTGTGTACGTAAAAACCAGCTCATCGTACCGGTTTGATGATGGCACGGCTGGTACAATGTCGGATCATGTCAGCTCTTACCGACCAAAGTTCCCCACTAAAGCTCCCCTGAACCCCAGACTCTACAAGTATGTTTGGATAGTACGAATCATGTGAGTCAAAACTGCTCTAGCTTTACCATGCCCACTCAAAAGACATTCTGAATACATCGTTCAACTTGATACCCTCTGGTGAACTAACATAGCAATGGAAAATGGCTATTTATAGTGGATTTTCCCATTAAGAATGGTGATTTTCCATTGCTATGTTAGTTCACCAGAGGGTAAAAGGCCCGATCCCAACTATGGATCGGTGACTTCGGATCCCCAGAGTTGATTCTCGGTCTGTCTAAGGGGACACCCCCAAAATGCTTTATCCCAACATTTCTCCCAACAACGCTGCAGTTTTAGGGGCACTTTTGGACAAACGCAAATAACACATGATTGCGTAGAGATCCCTCCAAACCTCATCCTAATATCTACATTATATCACACACACATGTATATATAGATATAATTATATATAACATACATATTATTATTATCATTATTACTATTATTTATATATATATATATATCTTATATTATCCCCTTACATCCCAAGAAATCCATCTACTTACCACGATTTTGACAGCGGAATTTTCTGCGCAGCCACCATTTTCGACCTTCGCCAAGCTTTGGACATTGGTCGTCCGGGGGTGCACCGTGGCGCAGCGAGCAGCGGCTGGGAAGTGGTGGTCGTGCAACCTTTCCATATATGAATCAAAAAAAGATCGAAACATTAGCTGGAAATACCTAGACCTATCTGGAAATAGCTGGAAAGAGGGAAATCCTCCCGTTTGAGGCCGGTTTTCCTGCAGAGTAAGTAGGGATGAGTAAAGTCTGTCCCGGTCTGAAGCAGACCATTGAGAAGTGAAAATGGTCAAGATTTCCCACATTCCCGTGTTGGTGATGTGAGGGAGCCTGTGCTCCTTACATGTGCCATTTGAGGTGATCCTTAACAAACAAAAGCCGAAGTGGGACATTTGCCAACCACTGTGAAGGCGTGAGCCTGCACCCACGAAACACCCACGGTGTTTTTTTGGTGAAACCCAAGAAGGGTCATATCCAGTAGGAAATCATTGTTGGATCCATGTATCTGTCCATTTATCTATCTATCTACCTACCTATTTATCTATCTATCTACCTATCTGCCTATCTACGACCTAACTAAAGCTACATATCTATCGATCTATCTGTCTATCTATCTATCTGTCTGTCTACCCAATCTACCCAATCTACCCAATCTACCTATCTACTCAATCAATCAGTCAATCAATCAATCAATCAATCAATCTATCTATCTATCTATCTAACTATCTACCTACCTACCTGTCTGTCTGTCTGTCTGTCTGTCTGTTTGTCTATCTATCTATCTATCTATCTATCTATCTATCTATCTATCTATCTATCTATCTATCTATCTATCTATCTATCTATCTATCTATCTATCTATCTATCTATCTATCTATCTATCTATCTATCTATCTATCTATCTTATCTATCTATCTCTCTCTCTATCTAATCTAATCTAATCTATCGAATCTATCTATCTATCTATCTATCTATCGATCTAATCTATCTATCTACAATCATCTATCTAGCGCATCGAGCTATCTATCTTATCTTCATCTATCTATCTATCTTATCTATCTTCTAGCTAGCTATTCTATCTATCCTATCTAGCTATCTTCTATCAATCTATCTCATCTATCTAATCTATCTCTCTATCTATCTATCTAG